AAGGGAGACACAACTTCATATCATGATGGTAATGTATCCCAAGTTTCAAAGAAATTCGTTGAAAAATGTTGGAGGAGATTGCCGGACAAAAATCAGATACTCAAATAAACAAAGGGCAATAACTTTTGCAAAAATTGTTGAATCAATTTTTTTTCCAATGAAACACAACAACATATCATGAGTATTTAGCCTATTCAGTTTCAAAGAAATCCGTCAAAAAATGAAGGAGGAAATCTCCGAACAAAAAATAAAATACTGAAATGGACAAAGGGAAATAATCTTTGGAAAAATTGTCGAATCAAAATTCTTTTAAGAGAGACACATCTTCATATCATTATTATAATGTATACCAAGTGTCAAAGAGATCGGTCGAAAAATGTAGGAGAAGATTGCCGGACAAACAAAAGTTTATGCCGGACGGCCGGACCCCATACCATAATACTTCCTTCAAATTTAACGGACGTATAAAAAGTTTTAATTTAAGGCAAGTTGGAATACTGCTTGATAGAAGATATATACGACCTCGTTACAGGAAAATTCTTAATTAATAAAGTGTAAAATGTAATTAAAATGCTAATATTTTGGCATCAATTTATAGACCCATGGTTACCAGACCTAATTAAACATTTCTATTATGTATTTCTATTTATAATAGTGTGTAGTCAGAATCTTTTATTTTTTTTGTCTTGTTAACATTATCAGTGATAAAAGTAAAACAATTTCCTTAACGCTGCTCTGGTTTGTTGCAAAACATTTTGAAAACGCTAGCAGCTATTTCGATCACAATGACCCGGACGTCAGAATCCTGCAACCTTTTGCATTAAAAGGGCAAAAATCCTCTCCTGACCGGCAAGCTATGGTTAAACTTTCTCTCTTGGTTTGATTTTATTTAATAGATAAATGTAAGGGATAACAATAACTACTCAACATATTGAAGAACAGAACTTAAACCACCAGGTCTAAAACAAATCGCCTACCTACAGTATTAAGGATCAAACACTTTTAGCTAATAATAAAAATCAAACAACGTAATTTTTTTATCATAAATATAATACATATGCAAGACCACACACTTGTGGTTTTCTAACGAATCCGAAAGCATGAGTTAATCGCGCGAACGAATACACAAACGAGTACGCGGATCGCCCGAGTGAATAAGTATATACGTCCGCGCCATAAATTAGTGCTTTCTGATTCGTTAGAAAAACACAAGTGTGTGGTTTTGCTTTTATCACATACCTTCCGTATTTGGTAGAGATCGATACAAATATTTTATAAACTTTGATATGTTTTGCAAATACCGGGAATTTTTCAGTTCGCAATGACAATGGGATTCCGATAAAAAGTAGTTCCAGCTAGTAAGGAAATACAACATTCCGTATTGCACATGTGCAATACAGAACGTTGTATTTCATGGTCTGAAAATTGCTTGTAGTACTACAACTAGATTCAACAGGTATGTGATAAAAGGTAATAAATATCAAACAAATTGCATATGATTAACAAATACAACAATGTACATCAAGTAATAAACATAAAAGAAATTACATTCTCATTTATTTGAGATATATAACACTACATTCGATTAGTCACGCAAACTATTTTTCGACAGTATAACCAAAATATACCGTTAGCAAATTTTTCATTTGCATATCAAGCCTGGATGGCGAATATTAATGACGTCAATGACCCCGACTGACCCTGACACGTCATGAAATTGATTATTCATGACGTCACGAACAATAGCGTGACCCTGAAAAGTCAACGTAATTTCCGCCTCACTTTGAATATTCCTGACGTCACCAATCCGGGGCAGAGTGACCCCAATTTTTTTAGGAAAACACTCAAAAATATCTGAAAACCTTCTCTTCGTTAGGGGGTTATGGCGTATATTAATTACAATATGAAATTTTCGGCGGTATATCGTGATCATACTGTCGCAAATATTCGTTTAATTGGCGACGAGGACCGCCAAGAAATTCAAAATACAGTAGGGTTATCTCCTAATTATAAAAGTATTAAAGTGCACGATGTTCTATAGAAAAAACAACATGAAAAATGTTCTAAAAATGAAACAATAACAACTATTTAATGAAGATAAAACAATGTACACCATGTTCTAAAGATCAAACAATCTTAGCTAGGTTCTAAAGATAAAGTAATGTACGGTGTAAAATTCAAATTATGTACATAATAGTTTGCATTAAAGTTATTAAAGAACATTATCTTAAAAGAGACCCGATGCGGCTAAATCGCTTACCTGGCATTAATTTCATTATCTTTGACTCTTAGTATTCCAAATGAATGATGCTTAAACATTTTCAAAATAGGCAATTTTGACATTGAAAGTAGGTCAAGGTAATTCATTTTAACAAAACAGGTAGCCATACAACCTTATACGCTGGTTGCCAAAATAATCATTCTGTGACTCTGGTTATTCAGAGACTAATTTAGGTTGTGCTATAATTTCAAGCAAAGACATATATGAAAATACAGACTAGTTATTGTACTTCGTGTAAAAACATTAAAATGTACACAATCTAGTAGAACATTCATTTTCAACATTATGAGATAAAAAATTCGAAACATACAACACGGTTTATCATTGTTAAATATGATTATATTTTTAATTAGAGCATGTACAATTTATAATATAGTTCAAACAATGAACATTTTGTTAAGACTATATATCATATTTATACAAACAAGAAAATAAGTACAACTGTTGGATTATGCTTCTCGAAAAGGTCACCGATGACCTCAGTGTAATCTGGGCCTTGGCAGTACAGACCCTTAGGTCATATGTGACATACCACCTTTCCATCATATATCAACGAACTTTCATTGAGTTATATTATCTTCAGCAGGTAAGAAGTTATGTCTCAGGCAATGTTAGTTTGGTTTTATTTTGTTTGACGTCCCATTAACAGCTAAGGTTATTTAAGAACGTCCCAGACAATGTATTGAACCTATAAACTTAATGTGACCATGATCTGTGAGATACAGACCCAATTATGGTTTGCGACGCACCGCCTTGCAATCCTAAATATATCCCAAATTTCAACTATATATCCTCAGTGAGAGTATAATTATGGCCCGGATAATGAATTTGATTTTGAACGTTAATATGAGATTAACATTGGGTGTCCGCAACCTTGTGTGGTACGCAAAACACCGTCTTGTCATCCTACATACATCAGTATACAATCATCGAGTATCTTATGCGATTCAGAGGTTTTTTCCGGGGATCATTACATGATAAACAACTACTGGAAATATTATAAGTAAACATTATATATACATAAATATAATCTTATATAAATTTGATGATGATGCAGTTTTATTTACTTTTATTTTGTTAACGTTGAATCAACAACTAAAGTCCTTTAGGGACGCGCCTCCGAATTTGATATTTACTATCGTTTTGAAGATTTATCAGCATGTTATATTATCCTAGTGGGGCGATCATCCTTTTGAATTAACAAAGAAAATAAAAGGAGTTTTCTATGAAAACACCAAGGAGGCAGATCAACATATCCGCGCTTGGCCTCGCATGGATTTTTAAAAAAGGAAAAAAAAACACAAAACAATATTATCAAAAGCCAAACAAAAAAAAATCTTTTTCATGTTATATATTAAAAGTTTGTAACATCAATGGAAACTTTCTAAATATCACCAAATTGTCATTATCATTATAGTGTATTACATTTTTGAATTGGGTTCTTGAGATTCAACTCTTACGTTATTGATACCTTAGCAGATATGAATATCTACTGAATACTTTTAATACATATGAAATGGAAAATACAAAAAAATGCCAACCTTATACGGCTAATACAGTTTAGTATAGTTAAGTGTTTAGAAATGGTAAATCTGCCAGGCAGTTGTAGTAGGTCCAAGTGTAACAAACTGTGCTATCTGGCTGGTCCAACATTTTCTATTGAGAAAATATGAATAATTTAATGAAAAAAATGAAATATATTGCTTATATACAGTTGTGTGACAACACAACGCACCAAAACACTGTCCGCACATCGTCCACACATAGTTAAGTATTTGTTATTTGTATTCGTTGTAGTCTACAGCTTCCCTTAAGCTGGATTTTCACACCTTGGCGGGGCAAGTAAGTGTTTATCTATATATAGACAGATTATCTTGTAAATGTAGGTATACTATAGAAAAGCAAGTTTATACGTTTTATTAGGAAACATATATAAAGCTCAATTTACACCAGCCAAGATTGTCATGGTACAATGTTCGTCCATCGGCCGCACATATGTGCGCAGGCAATAATCGTCCATATTTTTATCGTTTGCACATCGTGCACACACCGTGCGCACTGCCCACGTCGTTTAACGTTGTGTCTTCCCACAACTGTATGTATACATGTTTTTTTGTAATTTTCTTTTCAAAATATAACTCACATTCAACATAATGATAAATAAGCCTTAGATATTTTACCACTTAATTAATTGGCTACTTTCATTTATAATCATTAAATACAAGTATATGTACATGTGTTGCCAACTGTAAATTATTTATATGGAAAAGGCTTACATAGGCTTGACATTTTTCCATCTTTGTCAATACAATATTAAATTTAATCAGATTGCCATTTGGCAAATCATATTCGTTTTAATCTCTTACTTCTAAAATTCAGTTAGAAAAACGCAGTGGACAACCGAAGAGCACATGCATCAACATCAGTGCAGTATAGCGACTTCATTTTCGATAAGAATACTGAATTAAACCCCCAATAATTGAGATGGAGAAATCATTGATTGGTTTTGTTTAGTATTGTTTAACGTCCTATCGACAGCTATAGTCATTTAACGGACGGCCTCCCCTGTGTGCAAAATGCATGTGTGTAGTGTATGCGTGTGTGTTCTGTGAGGCTTCGGTAGTGTTTGTCACCTTGTGATAGCGCGAAACTGATGCCGACTTTATAGTGCTACCTCACTGAAACATACTGCCGAAGACAGCCAGTAGGATAATTAAACACGGTCATGTGAAATAACCAGCGAAAGACTTACTTGTATATAACAAATAGAACAGGATGAACGCTATCAGTTAATATGAGCGTTTCACAAGCATCCTTGTCGTCATCATATGAGGGTAAGCTATATCTGGGTAAAAGTTATCCCAGACAAGCGATTTCAAGTTACCCTCGCCAGGCATGTATACAGCGCCGTTTAGATTTGCGTCGTAACAATTGTTGTACCACCATCCGCCTTTGTATTTCTCGGCACAGTGTCGACTGCCAAGATCGTTATCTCTGTCGTATGTCGAGAATGACATTCCGTTGTGAGTGGCCATATTATTTTCTAAAAAACAAAATTACGTAATATAAAATTATGATAATACATGACATAATTATTTGAGTATACTCATTTGTTTGCACTTTGCCCTTACCAAAGAAAACGAAAACAAACCTGCAAAGAGCACACATAGTCGCCTCATACGATCATTCGGTGATATGTTGTGCTATGGGAATATATATTGATTGCTTTGTATCGGTACATATATAGATACTAGAGTAGATGTCTCTAACAACATCAACAAACACTAAAGATTGATGCGTTTAATTGTAATCGTTAGTCCAGGTATATGCTTTTCATACGTCATTAGTTTGATATCATTGCGACTTCGTGTAAATGAACATTTAGAGAATAGATATAGAATTGATATTTGACGATAAGTTTCGATATAAATAATATACTTCATATACATACGTTTGACGTCACCAGAAAACCCGGATATAGTCAGTCTGTATTTTTCGGTCTCGTTTTCAACTCTGAACGTGGAATACTGGGCATACGCAGCATCACCTAGCCATGTGACCAATTCAATACGGAGAATGGAATCTGTGGAGGTGAGGTGGTGAATTGCGTCATTTCCTGTTCAAGATACATTAGCTAATGATTAAGTATATCTGTCAAGTTTATGTAATATCGGTGAAATGAGTAAATATAATTTTAGAAAGTGTGCCATAATCTTGTTGTCATTAAATATTCATTCAAAAATACTTGTTAAGATACATACCCAGCCAGAAATTTCCACGGAGGTTACCAAAGCCTGTTTTATAGTCAGCCCAAGGTCTGTAGAATTCCTCGTCGCCATTTTGCCTGTTTTGTATTACCTGGAAATGTAAGTAAATTGGTTGGACTTTATCGGCGATTAGAGCTCATCGGTGATCTGGATATTACTTGTATCTGTGTTGTGTCTGTTACGCTGTGTAGATGTTCTAGTAACCTTGTAATTGAAAGGTAACTGGTCACACTTTGCGTGTAAAATACCTGCATACATACGTTTGTATGGGTGTACCTCTGAGTGCCAACATTTTAATTTACCTGTAGGACAACTTGTTTTTATAGTGATAATAGTCTTTTTCTTAAAAAGGAGTTGAGTTTCAACATGTAAATCTACCTGTAAAATTTACTTTTGGAACTCAAGCACATATATTAATAAATAAAACTTTGTTGACTTTTTTATTCTCCTAAAGTGTTATATTTGTGATAATATTTACAAGCTGATCCATATAGTATTTGATATAACTTAAATAAATTGATCTTTCAATAAAAGATGAATAACTTAGTTATACCGCCCTATTAATAAAAAAAAATACAACACCCTAATCAGTATATATTTTTGTCATCTTCTTATGGACAAAATCACTAAGTTTTTATTAGTACCTTACAGGCGTATACGTGATAACATATTTTTTTTATAGAATCAATGTGTGTTGTAGAAAAAATGGTATTATGATTATATATTTTATATTTGCTCTGCATCCTTTCATTGCAATGCATTGAGAAGGCAAATGTTGTTAGGTATGTGACTATAACAACATTTCTATTGTAACGTCATCAATCTCTTTTGTGACGACATCAATTTCATTGTTGTCAACACTTCATTTTCTTTACAAAGAACTGTTCGAAATAACGAAATTAAGCGTCACTACTCTATCAAAATGTAAATGTAAGTAATCAATATTTTAGCAAATATTGTTATGGTCCTATAACACACATTTCTATTGCTGACAAACGTACATAAAGCCCTACCGGGCTTTATTATGTTTGTCATCAACATCAATGTGTATTCATTGCTTATTAAATTAACTGGAAAATGAAATTTAAAAGGAATCTTCAAATGAAAAAAATATATTTTAGGGAGTTTGAAAACTCTTTCAGGTGAGAATTGACTATGCTCTCAACAACTATTCAGTATCTTGAGGACATTTCTGACGTTTCTTTTCATATGATAGTAAAGAAAATATCCTAGATTTGTGTATGCTTTATTATACATATAAGATAATTTTCTGATAAGGAATTTCCCTCATTAAGGAATGTTCTACATGGAAGATATATCTGACCACCCTTTGCAATAGCTCGATAAATTACATCACGTCAGATCTAGACAAAAAAGCGACAACGTCAGATTACAGTTAAACATTGTGTGTATCAGGCAGTCCATTCGTTATGTAAAAAGCAGGTAAAATGTAAATATTACGTATCTGATACGAGCTAGTCAAAATTGAACACCACCGACAGACTTTTTGCTTTAATGTATAAATGGTATTGAATAAAAACAATTAAAGTTAAATTTAAGCAAAGTAATAGAGACAACGTCACGTTAACTTGAATTAAGGGATTAATAAATTATGTATCTATTCCAGACTCGGGTCTTTACTCCCTTTATTTATCTATTCAACTGTCATATAGGTCAATTTGTGTAGATGCCGCTTACTCCTTCGCCATCTTGAATCAGAAGCTCCTCATGGAACTAGTTTAAAGTTTAAATTTCAAGTATTTTCATACATTTTCAGTTTCCGTTTATACATGTATGCAAGTTCCCTCATGACATATATTTTTTCTTAGTTTTTTAAAATTAATACACAGAGTTAAATCATTTTTAAACCTTACTTTGAAAGCAAAATTAGATAATAAAGGAATGGTTAGGGACAGATATAGGAATATTTCACTGTTATTTCAAACGTTTTCTTTATCTTTTTTGTTTGTTTAAAATATAAGGAGACACTTTTCAGTGTTTAGAAGATGTTACATTTGATGATTTGACCAAATATGTCAAAGCAAACCTTATCTAATAATGTGTGTAGTTATGAAACACAGGTAAATCTCAGGTGAATATTTAGGTGAAAATGCAACCTTTATATGAAACAGTATATAATTGACTTGCCATTGTTTCATAAAACAACACATGCCTATTGTTGGTTAATATGTTGTCACTCAGAGAACACCCCGTTTGTATATCCACACACGTGTCGCTTCAAAACAATTTGGATACTTGATATGTCTATGACTGTAAGATGATTATATTACTGTTAATTAATGATATCAAGTCCATTACCGTTAGATAATTATATCAAGTCCATTACCGTTAAATATTTCAATAAAGTCCATTACTGTTAAATAGTTCAATAGAGTCCATTACTGCTAGATAATTTTATCAAACCCATTACTATGAGATAATTATATCAAACCCATTACTATTAGATAATGGAATCAAGTTCATTACGGTTAAATAATTATATCAAGTCTATTACTGTTAGATATTCAGACACATATACATATATATATATATATGGCTGAAACATTGCAACAAACTAAAATCATGAAATATTTTAGTTTAAATATTGAAAATCATTCAGAATCCCTGTACCACTATCAAAAAGGCGTTCGAAAAATGTTTTTCCCTAGACGAGGTTTTATAAATCAATTTTTGAAAAGAAAGAATACCTTGTGGGACTTTTATAAAAATATAACTTAGATGAAATAATCAACACATAACATAATCAACAAACGTGTTATGAGTTTAAAATTTGCTGCGGGCTCAGACAGGGAATCGAACCCCGGACTTCACGTTGTTCAGATCGCTGGAAACGATTGAGTAACATGAACAACGGTAGTGTACAAGCCCAGATGTGCTGCAGTTATATCCAAACAACGGAAGTTAAGGGGAGATAACTGTATATAGGCAAAACGGCAGTGCAGTGAGACAAGGATTCTTCATTTACAGGCCATTCCTTATTATCAATCAACCAAAATAACTATTGAACAGCAATGCGATAGCTATTGCATAGTTGTGCAGACGCTATTATCGCAGTTTTTCATCGTGCACACAGCAGACTTCATGTAATGATGTGCAATCACACTACTATAACTGCATGATAATGACTCCAGCCAAATATGTTTTCCAAAGTTCTTCCGGAGAAGTCGTTTAAAAACAATCTGGAGACTCCCTCCCTAACTTCGTAGAACAAGAGATCCCAGAGGTTACTTGGCGCCCACCATCGTACCATCTTCATTAATTCATTTCTATGTCAGTTTGATCTTTCTCTTCTTTTCTCTTATCTGATTGATCAGTTTACCTGAACGCTATCTTAATCAACCTCAAAAGTTAATATGCTCAACCAATCATCCCCAAAATTTGGAATTCAGAACTAGCTTGGAACCATGGGGAACCTTCATGTGAAATTTGAGAAAGATCCCTTCTGTACTTTCTGATAAACAGCACTAATAAACTTTAACTCTCAAATTAAAGATGGCTGGGTGTCGGCCATTTTAATGCTGTGATCAGTCCCAGAATACGAATATGCATAACTAAAGACCATAGGGAACCTTCATGTGAGATTTGACAAAGACCCCTCAAATGCTTTCTGAGAAATAGCGAGAGCAATAATTATTTAAGAGCGGACGGAATGACAGGCGGACGGACCACGGACGCAGTGCGATTCCAATAGCCCACTATCTGATGATTGTTGGCTAAAAAGGGCAACATGAAAAAAAGCCTAGATGAACAATCTCAAGTGGTAGTTATTGCATCTGGAAACATTCGTTGTAATTTGTCCATTACTTTAGGAGGAGTTGTTCGGACAAACTTTAGATGCGAACAGACAGACAGACAAGCTGATTTCAGTAGGTATACCATCTTACGTCGTTGCGGGAGGTATACAAACATAACACAATCTGCTTGTAATACTTTCAACATGATTGATCCCTTTAAGCAGTATGATCGAATTGCCCATTGCGATCCCACACCCAGCCTCTGGAAGTCAGCGCATCCATTGGAACCATTTTGAATCCCCATGTACCCAAACATGGTTGTCATACCTCTAAACATTCGAGTTCTTCGTCAATATGGTCAAATGATCTTTCTGAACCCGATTCTAAGTTTCCGGGAAAGATTTAAATACCCACCATTTAAGGGAGTTTCTAGTCATTTTTTATATTTTTGAAAAATGTTTTATCAGAAGAAGTTGTGTGTTTAAACAATGTTTTGATAGACGGATGTTTGTAAGTTGTATCATGTTCCTACCTCCTGGTAATATTATACAGCAGGTCAGCTAATGATGGGTTGGGTTGATGTTACCGAAGTTTACTCACCGTCCAGGGTCCATTTGCCGTGTCCATGTCGCAGTACACGTCGAAGCTGACTCCCGGTGTCGGCGTAATTCGGTAAATACCTGAGCAGTAGACATCTGTGTTGACCTCGCTACAATCAGCAGGACCTACGATCCAAAAGACGTTAATTGAAAGAAAAAAGAGTATGGTATGTATCCAAAAAGCATCCTACACGAGAGGTCGGTTAGTCATTGTCTATGTATACACTGCCAGCAATACACATTTGATACATATATGTATGTTATCATTTCTGATCAAATCTATTTATTTACTGTAGAAAATGAAATGATGTTATCAGACAAGTACTTCCTATGGGGAATACAACAATCATACGGTATCAGAATACAGTATAACCGGTATAAACCGGTCCCTGTATAATCCGGATCCCTGTCTTAACCGGCTGTGATTTGTGGTACCGGCATATTCCCTTTATACTCATACATGTAGTAGTTAAACCCTGTATAAACCAGACCCTGTCCATTACTAAAACCGACATTGTTTCATAAAAGTTGGGATCCAAATAAAAGTAACCTGTTCATTCCGGTCCTGATATTTCTCTCGGCCGGCTACAATCTAAAGCAAACACATTCTAAACAAATTAGCGCTATCCAATGTTGGGTCGCCCTTCATTTGTATTATATACTGTATGTTTTATAAATATTTAAACATTGCAATTGATTCATTTCTCTGTTGTTTATGTTGACACACTCGTATACAGATCGTATGCAAAACACTGCATTATTGTATTTTCAGAAAATGACATACCGACCCTGTACAAACCGGACACCTGTGTAAACCGGACAATTAATTTGGTCCTGGTGACATCCGGTTTTAACAGGTTATACTGTATGAAAATTTTCTAATTTACGTTGAAACCGCTTCAAGAAATGGAAACCTGAAAGCAAATTTAGCACTGTGTACAGCTTTTAATTCACATTTTTTTTTATTTGCGTTTTCACCAGCAAAAAGTTTAGTATTTGGTCTGACCTAATGATTAACTAGATATCTACCAAAGCACAACGTCAGCCCTGTGCAACCCGTACATCTACTTTAAACACATTGCTCTTCCACTGTCCCATGTATCTGTATCTGTATCCTTTAGATCCCTCCTACGTAGGAGAACCTCCAATGTCTGGAGTAGTAACTTATTTACACGACCTAGATAATTTGAGAGAGCAACTGGTGATAATGTAAACAGAGTTCATAGCATGCTCCACGGACTAGCTATATAAGTTAATAAGCACTATATACACAACATTAGCAGCAACCAAACAGGTATACTAAAGGCAAGTGGGGAAACTGTCTCTAACCGCGAACCACACATCGCACAGTTAATATGTTAGAAAGTCCCTTTATAACAATTTTTTCATAGTGATTAGCGAATACGTCTGCTTTTTGTCTGGGGAAGTAAATTGAATCGTTTAATGCGCAACGAATAGCAGAGGCTCCTGGCGTGAAAGTTCACACGGTCGCGCGCCCCATCATCATTACTCATATCCAAATCTATTCGTACAAGAGAACGATTCCTAACTTCTTGTAAGGATTCACACTTGAGTAGAAAATGCTCCTTCGTTTCATCCTCCTTTTCAAAAAATATACAGGTAGCCTTAACCTTGTTCTGGTTGAAAGCACATCGGTTTGTTTGTAGAACATAGATGCATGTTTCATGTCGCGTTTGTAGCCTAGTGACGTCTCTTGGGTTCCCAGGAATTGTATACAAGATGGGATGCCGAGATCCAGGTATGAACGCTTCTACATTTAAATGGCGAAGGCTCCGATAAGCACTAGCTTTCTCAATAATGGAATCCTTCCAATGAGAGTCAATAGCCTTCCTCACACACCCCTTCCATTTACATGAGGACGGTGGGTCTTCAAGCGTGTATAAAGGATCTGGTAGGTTGTACAGTCTACTAATCCTTCTTAGTTCCTGAAACCAGCTGTTGGAGGATGCATCATTAAGGAGAAGCTGTCTATAAGCAAATTTCCTTTCCAGGCTAGTATGAGTAAGTCGAGTCATCGCTCCATAGTGAATTAGGACTCTCTGATGAAGTAGAGATTCCACAGGGAGAATACCTGTCAAAACATATATTGCTGCATCTGCCGTAGTTACCGGAAGAGACAAGATCTGCTTAAGGATCTTCTTCAGGAAGATTTCAAGTCTCTTCAATTGTTGTCTTTTTGGGAGACATATTTCAAGCCCATAGAGGAGAATGGGGAGCACATACACAGTAATCAGTTGCAGTGATGTAATCGGGTCGAGTCCATTCTCACCATGTAGCCTGGCCTCATCAGACTGTATATCCTACGCCTGGTTTTTTGTATATTGGTTTCGACAGTGGCAGCAGCGGTCGATTTAACATCCTGCTGGATCCCCAGATGTGTAGTCCTGGTCCGGGTATTGATGGGATCTGGGCCATGCTTTAATCAGAAGCACACTTAGTGCACTATATTGAATGTAACCCACTGCCAGAAATTAAAAATATGATATTTTTAATACTGCACCACTACGAATTAATGTTACAAGGCAAGTGTGCACTGCTGACGTCAGAAACTAATTATGAAGACTCCATGTCTACTAGGGTGCAGACTCGAGCACCTTATGTGTGACTCACCCGTATTCTGGATGAGGTTGCCCTGGTTTAATTGACTACCTTTAAACCAGCACAAGTACAAACATGATCGCTAACAAAAGTTTAGATATGACGTCGGGTCAGTCGACCGGAGCCAACAGACGGATTACATTTTGTTGAATATTGCGATTATGATTAGCGATATTGAAAGCAGTATTTGCCGCCGTTACTGTCCGTTTTTGCCGAGTATGAAGTAAGCAGATATTGGACCTTGGACATATGGCCGTCGATATTTTCGATGCTTTAATCTGATTGGCTGAAATCTGATTGGCTGCTGATTTTCGAAGCTTAAACGTGATTGGTCGTAATTTGAGTGGCTATTAATTTTCATTGCTTAAATTTGATTGATCGAAACGTTCGTGACGTCACGATCGCAACGTCACCTCACTTTTTACCCAGACAGCTGAAGAACCAACGACACGGTAAGATTCGACTTTGAAATAAAATGTGCTTCTATTTTAATTAAATTTACATAGTACATAGGTTACTATGTGTGAACTATGAACCTTTTCGGTATTTTCGGATTTTCCTTAGCTGATTTTGGAATTTTTTAGTTGTTTTTTGTACCGTAGGTGAGTACCAAACATTTTATGAATTTGTGTATCTATTTTAAAGAAATAAAACAAAGAAATAGTGTGTTGCAGTTTTTCTTTCCTTCCCAAATAATGTATAGAAAAAGACATGCATGTGGCCTGTATTATTACACATTACCCTGTAAGTATATTTTTCAGTTCAAACATAGACGCAACACCACCTGCTACAACACCTTCCAGAGAACCATCACACGCAATTTCCACACGAAAAATTTTCATCTCAATTTATACACTCGAAAATATTGTAAATATGCTGTGAATTTTATACTGTAAATATTTTGTAACTCTTTATTGTTTGTATAATGTTTTATGTATAAGATTATTAATGAAAATGAAAATACATGATCAAAAAGAGCAAAAAAAGAAGAGAAAAGAAAAAGAGAAAAAAAACCCGAAGCAGTGGTGAGAAAGCCCTGGAGAAAATACCTGAAATCAGAAGCAAAAGGCTGAAACACGAAATTGATGACGTCACACGCGACACACACAACACTATGATGATATGACGTAAATGGGGGGGGGGGGACATAGATTTATGGGGTTGTTAAAGCCGCCATCTTGGATCCGCTGCATAGCAACGGATTCAACAAGATGGTGGATTTCCTAAGCACCCCCCCCCATCCACGTCATATCATCATAATACCTTTAGCCTCCATGTGGTAATGTCCTCCCTTATAGCTAATATCCTTCATGTTAACACGGAAAGATTAAAAACATCAATATACATGTATAACTCGCCCAATGGTCCCCATTGCAACATTTGGGATCTTTGTGTTTCTCTCTGCTTCCTAACTGCTATTTTGGTTCCTAACGTCATGCTTTGCAATACATCTCAATTGGACTTGATGTTTTCGGCTGCACATGGTGGGCACAAATGTTCGATTTAACAGTTGTTCGCCCTGTTGTTATCTTCTCTCCGCAAAAATATGCGATTAAGTACAACTGGTTGACCAATCTTACGGAACGAAAAAATCCGGAGGCCTCGTACGGGTTAGGGAACACTATATATATAAATTTCTCATCAAATTGATTAGGATTATTTTCAATTTTACAATGCGTGTAACACAGCAATACAGTGACCGTAACACTGTCAAGACTGGGTTAAACTCCCCGGTAACAGAATAGGTAAATAACATATTGAGTTTTACCTGACAAAGAGAGCTGATATGTGCTACCGTATGACTGCTATGAAAACACAACTGGACGTTAAGTGTTTGTTTTTTAATATTGTTAGTGAGGGGGGCTGGGGTTCAGAAGACCAGTTGTACTATTTTATTAAAATATATTGGGAAACAACTACATAAATAGGAATATAAAGCTTTACACCATGTTAATTATATATCTAACCTGTGTTTAATATGCATAAATTAAACTATTTGGTGGGATTGAATTTCCAAACTCATCAGTGGATGGCCTTGTGTGATACAATGGACTTTTTGGCCTGTATCTGTTGGGTGCGATAATTTAATCCCATCAAATGTTTATACATGCAGCTTCAACAAATTATTTTTCTTTTCTCTTCATAATATGTATATATATATATACCGGTATATATTTTATATGTCTTTTTAATATCAAAATAAAAGGTTAGAATTTAAACCATTAGATTCAATTATAATAAAAATGAGTATTAGTAGTTGTTTCCCCTAATTTGATTATTAATTTGATAATACCAACTTGTTATATGTGTTTGTATGTGTTCTAATGTCTATGTCTATGCTTGTACCACTGTCTGTTACTATGTTTGGAAAGGGCTTAAATAGGCTATGCCTGCTGCCCAATCCATTTGTCTTTTGACAATAAAATTTATTGAAATCGAAATCGAAGTGTTTGTTATTTGCATTCACTTCACGCTGGATTTTCACACATTTGCAAGTTACGTAAGTGCCCCGGGTGGGGAAAACTACGGTCCAAGTACAGGTACAAAATGACTATATTTACCTGTATACGTGACCGTGTGGGTATGTGCTATATTACATGTGTTGATTTTAGTCGTTTAAAACCCCCGAAAAGACCATTTCTAAATTTTAGAAAATAGAAATAGAAAGATCGACTGATATATATAGCTAGAATATAGAAATATACTTAAAATCAAGTTTATTTCTTTAGACACGAAGCCGTATTTATTGTTAAGACATTTCTCAATTTACACCAACTGCGATTGTCATTGCACAACGTTCGTCCACTGTCCGCACAAATGTGCGCAAGCAATACTCGTTCTTTGCTTAACGTTCAGCATTTAGGGTAATATCAATAACTGGTTTACGCGTTGTCAGTAAATTGTGACCGGATGAAATGATGGTGTCCTTGGTGGCTTCGGCAATGTATTTCATTAAAATATCACTGAAAAGTCAGCATCAGATCCGCGCTATCACAAGTAGGCAAATACAGCAAATACCTGTGTCTTGCACACAAACGCACATGGAGTGACTAATAAAATCTTAAACGAAATGAAATACAACTTAACCAATCACTCTGCTTTGATGCAGTTGATACTCTGTATTTATAAATTCGATATGTAAACTATGAAGAAAAAAATACAAAAAAAACATCAATAGTTGTCTAATCGTTCCGTTCTTATTTCTATCGTTTCATTGAACACATAATGCACACTTCAAATATGCCGCCTATAATCAATATTTACTTACTATTCTTTAGCTCCCTATCCATCTTCGCAAACATCAAAATGTTTGGTGATTTCGTTGCGGTATAATTCCGACAGAACATCTTGGTAAACGTCTTGCATTCCTTGGTCTCGGGGTCATAGGCAAAGGACACACAGTCTGTTTTACAAACCTTGGCACAGTCCACATAGTTTGTGTTATTGTTGTAGGTGGTAAGCACGTTATTGGCGTACTCTGCCATGGAGACGCGAAGTACACGTGCAAATGAGGATGCTGAAAGTCCTCGGATAATAAACATAAAAACTAACCACACCATTGATAAATCCATGCTGTATCTGCAAGTCAGGGGGTGTTTTTCACTTTTTCGTAAAAAGATGTGATGGTAAATCTTTAAATCCCATATTGTTGACAATGTTCAAACGTCGGGGTTATAACACAACAAGCGTCAAAGCAAAAATCGTATCACTACAGTTGAACCTGGGGATCTGGATGGTTTGTTAGCATATAATCAATAAAGTAAACAGCTTTGTAACACCTTCATTTTGTATCATTCCAACCATTCGTTCTATTGGGCACTTGTCACTTGTAATCAGCTGGTCAAGAATCAAGTCTACCGAAACGGGCACGTTCCTTAAAGTGTGAAGTTTATAAATACACAATTTTTAGATAAATTCCTCTTCCATGAAAACAACACTCTCCTTCCATCAGTAACCTACACTGACCTGACTCAAATCATTTCATGTGTTCTGATCAGTTTTAATTCATGCTTTATGGCTTTTAAATGGAGTGTTTCTGCAATCTAGCGTAAGTAATTGGAAATCGGATATGCTATCTCATTCCTAGTTACGACCGGCTGTCAAAAGATTTGTTAGTATAATGAAGCTCGTTTTACGTTTTTAATTATGAAAAGATTAGAACTAAAGAGATCAAAAGAACAAATACTTTAGAATTGGTTTTAATTCGGCACATTAACATGATACAATCGATTCATATTTCAATAACAAATGACTTTTAATTGGCCGTTTACCTAATATAAATTTGATAAAGGGATCACAGATCTCGACCAAAAATCATTATAATCGGTCTGATTCCAAAGGTGTCATTAACGAATCTATAATTCATATTAATTTGTCAGTGTTTAATGTGCTGTGTTGTACAAATGAAACGGTTAATGATTTAGTCGGATCTTATTAATACAATGTTGAGGAGTGAAATTACTGACATCATGATATGTGTAGCATGAATACAGTGTTGTTAAACATGGGGGACACCCTATTGTCTCTATAAGGTCTTCAAGCGTAACACTGTTTTCGATTGAACTATTAATTAACCAATTTCCACGACTAAAGGTATTGCACAATATTATTGTATATACATTATGATTACACTTGGCAGCTACGGAAGTAGCGATGAACGAGAAATTTACAGAGCAATTATGGATTAAAATTAACCTTGACAAAGGAAATATACTAACAGTGGGGTGCATCTATAGAAGTCCTAACAGTGTAGATGAAAATAATATGGAGCTATGTGCGTTACTTGCGGATATAAAAAAACCCAACAAAATTCACATTTTTTAATCATGGGAGACTTTAACTTAAAAAATATAGATTGGATTCGATGGATCCCGTCTAAGGAAGCAAAAAATTTGGAGGAAAAATTTATTAAGTTAATTAGAGATTCATTCCTATTTCAACACATCAATGAGCCAACAAGAATAAGGATAAATAACGAGCCCAGTATATTAGATCTGATATTTACAAACGAGCAAGACATGGTAAGTAACCTTAAAATAAAAAGTGGAATTGGCAAGAACGACCATGGCACCATTTACTTCGACTTCAACTGTACAAGGACTTACTCAAACAGCAAAACAACCAAGTATAACTATAAACAAAGGAGATTATGAGCAAATAAGGAAAGACCTATCAATAGATTGGAAGGAAACATTAGGACGCGCAGCAGAAGCGGAATCCAAATATGAAATATTTTACCATGAAATAAAATCCACCATTGAACGAAACATACCAAAATCAGTTCAACGATGAATGAAGAACCGGAAACATATAGATGCCCAAACCGTTCATGCAATACAGCGAAAACACAGGAGTTGGCAGAGATATCTTGAAACAAGAGACGGGGAGAAATACAAGGAATACGTAAGAGCCAGAAATAAAGTAACAAGAGATCCCAGAGGGATCTTTGCGCCCACCTTTGTACCATCTTCATTAGTTCTTTGTCAGTTCGATCTTTTCTCTTTTTTCCTCTAATCTGTTTGATCGAGTCATGTTAACAGTAAATGCACCTTGAGGTAACTTTTGATCTAAACTTAATACTGATGTGTATGAAAGCCAACCTTCAAAGTGAGTTTGTCATTTCACATATCTACTAGTACAGTACTTAATGTGAAAGAAATGGAATCGATCATTGCAATATGAGAAAGATCTGTTTAGTTCTATTAATCCATTTTGTTCTTATGATCAGTCTCAAAATATAACATACACAACGGGGGATCAAGGGGAACCTACATTTAAAATTTAAGAAAGATCCCTCTAGTTCTTCCGGAGAAATAGCGGTAACAAACCCACACTATCAAAATCCAAGATGGCTACCTGTCGGCCATGTTGTTTATTTGATCAGTCTCAAAAGTTGCCCTGCACAGCTCAGGACCAAGGGGAACCTACATATAAAATTTGAGAAAGATCTCTCGGGTACTTCTTGAGAAATAGCGATAACGAACTCTTTCACTATCAAAATCCAAGATGGCTACCTGTCGGCCATGTTGTGTATCCGATCAGTCTCAAAAGTTGCCCTGCACAGCTCAGGACCAAGGGAAACCTACATATGAAATTTGAGAAAGATCTCTCTGGTACTTCTTGAGAAATAGCGATAACGAACTCTTTCACTATCAAAATCCAAGATGGCTGCCTGTCGGCCATGTTGTTTATCCGATCAGTCTCAAAAGTTGCCCTGCACAGCTTAGGACCAAGGGGAACCTACATATAAAATTTGAGAAAGATCACTCTGGTACTTCTTGAGAAATAGCGATAACAAACTTTCAATATCAAAATCCAAGATGGCTGCCTGTCGGCCATGAAGTCTCAAAAGGTGCCCTGCACAGCTCAGGACCAAGGGGAACCTACATATAAAATTTGAGAAATATCTCTCTGGTACTTCTTGAGAAATAGCGATAACAAACTCTTTCACTATCAAAATCCAAGATGGCTGCCTGTCGGCCATGAAGTCTCAAAAGGTGCCCTGCACAGCTCAGGACCAAGGGGAACCTACATATAAAATTTGAGAAATATCTCTCTGGTACTTCTTGAGAAATAGCGATAACAAACTCTTTCACTATCAAAATCCAAGATGGCTGCCTGTCGGCTATGTTGTTTATCCGATCAGTCTCAAAAGTTGCCCTACACAGCTCAGGACCAAGGGGAACCTGCATATAAAATGTGAGAAAGACCCCTCTGGTACTTCTTGAGAAATACCGATAACAAGAATTGTTTACGGACGGACGACGGACCACGGACCACGGACGCAGGGTGATTTGAATAGCCCACCATCAGATGATGGTGGGCTAAAAACATTATTAAGAAATTGTAAAAGGAACCTGGAAAAAGACATTGCTAAGGAAGTGAAGATCAACCAAAGAAATTTTGGAAATATGCGAGCTCAAAAACAAAATCAAAATCTGGAATTTCAGAACTACACGTAACAAATGGAGGAAATACAATAATAGCTCAAAACGACAAAGATAAAGCCAACGTATTAGCAGACTTTTTCTCAAGTGTATTTACGGTTGAACCGCAAAATTGTATACCTGTTCTAACAGATATCAATATAACAACTCCATACCATAATACTAAAATAACGGAGGCAGAAATATTAACCGTCTTAAAAACTTTAAATCCTGCAAAATCACCGGGACCAGATAACATCCACCCTAAAGTACTAAAAGAAACTGCTGATATAATAAGCACACCATTGTGTGAAATATTCAACAAATCTCGAGAATCAGGAGAACTTCCGGCCAGCTGGAAGGAGGGACAGATAACCGCCATCCATAAAAAAGGGGATAAGAAAAATCCCGGGAACTATAGACCTGTAAGTCTGACCAGTGTACTATGTAAAACTATGGAGAAGATGATAAGAACAAGAATAATGAGCCATTTGGAGAGAAATCAACTTTTGAGTAAACATCAATATGGATTCGTAAAAGGTAGATCAACTGTACTTCAGCTGTTAAAAGTAATTGACGACTGGACGGAGGCTCTCGACCAAGGGAGATCAATCCAAACAGTTTATCTTGATTTTATGAAGGCCTTTGACACTGTTCCCCACTTACGTTTAATAGGCAAATTAAGATCATACGGACTATCACCGGAAATTGTACGGTGGGTACACAGTTTCATAACAAACCGGAAGCAGAGAGTATCAGTCAATGGTGAAACGTCTAAATGGATGGAGGTAACTAGTGGGATTCCACAGGGTAGTGTTTTAGGGCCATCCTTATTTGTAATCTACATAAATGACCTCCCAGAAACAATCAACGCAGCAACATTCTTGTTCGCAGATGATACAAAAATTTACAATTATGATCAAAATATTACCCTACAGGATGATCTTGACCAGCTCCAAGAATGGTCAGATAAATGGTTGTTAAAATTTCACCCCGACAAATGTAAAGTATTAACCTTAGGAAAGAACATAAACAACGCGCCACTACATTTGTATAAAGATACGGAAGATGGGAGGGTCGATGTCACTTTGGAAAACATAACAAAAGAAAAGGATCTAGGAATTATTACGGACAATCACCTAAATTTCAGCGATCATATCCACGAATCGGTCAATAAAGCAAACAGAATAATGG